GTTGGGCCTGGCTCTGAAGGGCACGGCAGGGATGCGGGGTGACCCCCGCGGGGGCTCTCGGAACGAATCCGCGCGTTGTTTTGGTGGATGCACAGCATCTGGGTGTGTGTGTGTGTTGGGGGGGGTGTTGCTATATTGCTGCCGTGGTGCTGAGCCCGCAGCTGGAGCCGGTGCTGCACGGGAGGTGCCGGGCAGCTGCTGCGGTCGTTTTCACGCTTGAGAAACTGGGTTAGCGCGGGGGGGGTGGGGGGGGGAGGCGGCTGCGGGCCGGGCTGCTGATGGGAATGGGGCTGGGGGGGGCCGGGGGGTCGTGCGTGGGGCGCGCCGGCATTGCGGGGTTGGGGGGAGGGGGGGCTGGGTTTGGTCTGTGAGCTTCGGTGGCCTTGGAACGGAAGGGTGCGTGTGTGCACCCCCGTGTGTGCGTGCAACCCCACGGGTGCATCTCCGCGTGCATTTTCACGCCTGCATCCCTGCGTGCGTGCAGCGTGCATCACCAGGTGCATCTCTCTGCACCCGTTCCGCGCGTGCAAGCTCACGCGTGCAGCCCCACTCGTGCAGCCCCACTCGTGCAGCCTTGTGCATCTCCATGCCTGCACCTCCCCCATGTGTGCAATCCGCGTGTGTGCGTACAGCCCTACGGGTGCATCCCCACCCATGCAGCCCCTCCTGCATCCATCCGGAGGGTCTCCCTTGGAGCCAGGAGGGAAAGCGAGGCAGCGCCGAGCGCAGCTGCATGGAGAGGCCGTGCAGCAGCAGCTCTGTCACCTGCATCCCCTGCAGGGCACCAGGAGCGGCCCCGAAGTCCCCGTGCTGCAGCATCGGTGCAGCCCCAGTGGTGCAGTGCTGCGTTCTGGGCCAGATCCCAGTGTTGGGGGGCACGGGGGGGGGGGCGCACAAGCTTTGGGGTGCAGAGGGCGTGCTCTCATATTGCCCAGCTCCGTGCTGCACGCAGGGTGGGGCAGCAGAGGTCGGTGGCGGGGGGGAGAACCGAGCACCCCCAGCTTTGGGCCCCGCAGCTGGAAATCCTCCGTGCCTTCCCCCC